GTGTCTCAATCCTAAACATTAGGCCTTCTTTTATAGGGGAAAAATCCCCTCCAAACTTAACTCACCAATGTGGGACTTTGGCATTTTGCCAAACTTCAACATATCATAATATCATGATAATTGATAATTGAATGAGAGCTAATTGAGAGTCGTCACGAATTATATAGAGCTATCAGAAGTAAACTAATTAAATTAGCAAATAAATAAATTTTTAAACTTACTCGCCAACCAACTTGTAGAATGTCTGATCCTTTCTGAATTTTCAAGCAACATGCACTATGTTGCTGACCTTCTGCATAAAGTTTCCATATACTAGGCGTCATTCCAGCTCCCACAAACTTGTCATTAGGATTTTTTAGAATTCGAACTATTGCAAGCTGAATATAATAATGGAATATTTGTTAACTCAAGGTAGGGTATAGCAAAGTCTATAACTTTCTCTTAAGACATATGTGATTAGAAAACAGAGGAGGAAATCATTTTAAGTTTATTAATTATTGGTTACTATTTTGTAATTCTATATAATATAACCTAAGCTTAAAGAGGCAAAAGTCGAGACCATTGAAGCACAATTTGATAAGCAACACATAAAAAGAGCCTTCTTAATGTGTTGGAGTACATGGTATAACGATAACCTTTTGCATTTTTTGTTCAAGCAACAGAAATTAATTATAAACAAATTTTTTGCACCATGATCCTTTTCTTGATATTGAACCGCCATAAAGAGAAAACATAGAACTAGAAAATGAAATGATAAAATTAAAAATAATAATTTTTTTTCATATTTATGTAACTTGTATCCTTTTGAAGAAGATATGTATCCTCTTTTTGAATCACTTTTGTTGAAAGTCTGTGTAAAAGTAATAACTTGTATGAGATTTGCTGCAACGGCGGATAAATATAAATCTATTTAAGTGACCTCTTTTTCATTATTATACGTTTAATGATGTATAACATATTAGATTTAATAAATGAAATCCTGAATCTATTTTTCAAGCTAAGGCAAAGCAGTGAATTGGTTTAACATGTTCTTACAGTAGTCAACTCAGTATCGTATGTGACATCTTCTGGTGGTAGCATATTCATTTCTCTAACAAGATCTTCTTTAGTAATTTTTTTGATAGGAACTGTTCCAAAAGGACAACCACCGTCTTTTGACCATATCCTCGATGACCAATTAGTTGCGGAGGCATTTGAGTTCTGCTTTGACCTAACTAAAGTAGGTTTCATCTCTCTGTCCAAAACTTAAATAGTATGTCAACAATATAAAAGTTGAAAGTAAATTAGAGATAGAGAGAGATAGTAGAGAGAGAGGAGAAACATGCCTGCGGATGAAAATCGTGATATTTTAACATTGGATGATCAAATGCTGGTTGTTTGTAAAATTCCACACAATTATATGTATCTCCATATTTAGTCTGAGAACCAAAACTTCATGAAATAAGTAATCTTGATTGCACTAGCTTGTTATCCAATATATAATTTCAGTTGTGCATAAAAAAAAATTACAAAAGAGAAGAGAAAGAAAAGCATGAGTACAATGACTTTTTGCCCAAAATATATACCTTAATTATTTTGATCGACGGTTTGTTGATAAGTTTAAGTTGTTTTTCCAACTCTAACTCCTCTACTTTGGATTGCTTGATTTTTCCTTGAACCCCATCATAACTCAAAAGAAGATATAGTACCAGGAAAGTTTGTCGAATAATTCATTGATCCATCAAGATTACCTGAATACATGAATTTAGTTTTATAGGCATGAATGTTAGGATATATATGTAAATACAATATTATTAAACAAACAAAATCACTAATTAATACAACATGCTAATGTAAATTAGTTAACAAAACAAGAAAGCACTAAGTAATAAACTTACTTGATTTACTAGATGTATGAAGCTTAAGTTTTTGAGCACCTATCACCTTTGCTAGTTTGAAAAGGATTTTATATAGAGGGGTAGAAGAGTTTTAAACTGGCTTTCTTACATGATACTAAATTAATGTAACCTTCTGAAATAAGCAGAATTAACTGAATCTAAAGAAGATTTTATGCTAATAAATGTTGATTGACCAAAAAGAAGTAAAATCCAAAAGGACAATCTAAACACAGATTACTAATAGAACTAGTATTAGTACCCGCGCGATGCGCGGACACAAATCATGTTAAACTGTGATGTTGGTTATTTGAATCATGTGCAAATAACCTTAAAATATAAACCTCTCAGATAAAAATTATATAACATTAAATATTAATTATGAAGTAAGATATGAAATTATTGTTCAAATCTCGGAGTGCACAACCTATTTTATTTTTTATTTGTAGCAACCTAACTACTTGATTTTAGTACTTGCACTTCGTTTTGTTGTCAGTATCAAAGAATACTAAACATATCATGTTGCGATCTGTCTTGTTTGAGCACATTAGATCATATTATTTTAACAAACTTCTTACTATCACTTTGTTTATATCTAAAAGTTAAATATGTTATTCATCGCATTATTTTTATGCAAATTCTTTTTTTTTTCTTATAGTTATTGTATTATTTATTATTTAAAAT